GTGTGTGTGTGTGTGTGTGTGTGTGTGTATATACAAGTTAAAATGGAAGTATTTTTATGTGATATGAAGGATTTAGGAGGTACAAATGTATAAAGCAAAGTTTAGGCGTTGTAAATATAGGAACTAGGCGGTATGCATGTTAATGCCATCATAAAATAATTACTGAATACGGAAGTAAACATAAGCATCACATTTGAGTAGAACTTAGACTGAATTTAGTGATTAATCTACTTTTTAAATTAATTTTAGGAAGATAAGGGTACTAATCACTATTGGAACGATTAGTTAGTTACCTTAAGCCACTTCTTAACCGCGCTTCTATAACCCGTTGCGAGAATAATAGCATCAAAGCGGCGCTGCTTCCCGTTCACGAAGTCAACATTCTTGCCTTCGATAGCTGTTATTTCAGGAAATACCTACTCATTCATGAAAATATGAGAATTATAATCATAAGAATATGATAAAAATTCATATAATGATTAAGAATAATAGCCAAAAAAAGTTCAAAGTATATACATTTTTTGATCCATGGTTGCAACTAGGGTTATTAAAAAAGCGAATATCTCATGTTCGAATCATTCGTTATGTAAGCGAGTCGAACGAGAATAATTTTTTTAAGCTTGAATTATAAAGAAGCGAACACGAGTAACTTTATGTTCAATCGTATTTGTCTTATTTTAGCTCGAAATAAGGAAATTATATATGATATTTATGTAATAACATATTATATATATTTATATATATATGTAGAAATAACAATAATTTGTGTGGTCATGTGATTTTGTGACTTTTATTATATAGAAATAGTGAAGGTTTGAATGCAACGCTTTACGTCTATGTTTTTTTAATTAATTTACAAGAATCAATTTCGAGCCAAACACGAACACATCATTCACGAACAATTTAGAACATGAGACAATTTCAAACATAATTAATTGCAAATGAGCCAAACACAAGCGAAAACTGAGCTTGCTAATACTTAGCTCATTTACAACCCTAATTTTGATAGCCGTCTTGTAGTGATTAACATTAACCAGATGTTAAAATAATGAAGATATGCAAATAATGTTATTAAAATAATAATAAAGTTCATTATAAGACATGTACAATAGAGTTCAACAATTTTAAGTAAGAAATTGCGAGATTTGGAGGAACCTCAATCTCGCCGGATTTAATCTTTGAGAAAGTGCCAGCATCCACAACGGGGTAGAATAGAGTGTTCATTTTCAAATAAAGGGGTCCCTTACTTGGCCGGTGCAAACCATACTTGGCCGTGTTCCCCATCCACATGTAGCATAGAGTAAGAACAATCAAATCGACCCAACTAAATGGCAAAATTTTCATGGCGACAAGTGCAATCCGCCATATCTCCCTCGTTACCAGATGTACCTGCATGCATGTTCCCAATGCCAATATAAATAAATCATTAATCTAATCAATCTTTGGAAGCCATCAAAATGTACATCTTTAAAATACATTGAAAGACAATATACCAACTAATATAATCCGGCCTTACTATTGGCTCACAATAATATATGTTAGAGACTTCTAATAATTGATTTTTAGATCATC